AATCAAATCAAACAATTCTAAAATAAAATAAATGGATGAAACTAAAAACTGCAACTTATGGGGCATTTCTGCCATAACAGAGATCTTAAAATAGCGTTGTCATGGCAACAATCTCTTATGCTTGTTCTTGGTAGTGAAAATTGCAAGCAAGGAATAATGTTATGCTAACAGAATTCTAGATGGTGCGGTTATCATAACATTCTCCTTGCTTTGTTTATATGTAAAATACGCCTGCCCATACGTAAAATCGCACAGCAAATAGACATTTTCATAATTTTCACTACCAAGAACAAGCATAAGATAGCGTTGCCATGACAACGCCGTTTTATGAGCTCTGGTACGGCAGAATTGCTCCATTAATCAATTTTCAGGCAAATTAATATAATTTATATTAATAATTTATGAAGCTACGTGTAATTTGTAATTCCAAATCATTTAAAATCAAGCTAGGTGAATTTGCGAAATTAATAGACATAAAACAACTTCACAAACACACAACATAAAAAGCAAAATTTCTATACTATGCTAAAATGTGATTATAACTTAGATTAAAAATTGAAAGCCTTTAGTATAAAATTGATTATTTCAAATATTTAGGTAATTCTAAAAATCATACAATCGCTACATGCTTACAAAAATATATGTAAATTATAATTTATATATAAAAACCGTTTATAAAATAGCAATAAAAAATATTTGAATTTCAAAAACACGCGATTTTTGTGACAAAAAACGTTTTATGTAAAATTTGTTAAAAAATTATTTATTCAGATAAGATATTTTTTTCTCACTATTCATTGAAAGAGCTTTTAAGCTGTCGCGTTTTAGAACCCGTTGATTTATACAATTATTATACCAGAACTTAGGAGATTCCGTTGATCATATGCATCCCTGGCAATATTTCCATCGGAGCATTCTGCTGCAGCAGAATCCTGCACACATAGAAGCAGACCGCCCAACAACATATGAGCATTTTGGCCATCCCATTCCACTTGCAAAGCGTTCACTAAGAGATTCATCAATCGAGGTTTCAGAGATCCAAAAGTTATCAATCTGCAAAAAAAAATAGTCTACATGAAAATTGTGAAATAAAATCTATAAACATTTTTTCTTTAATTAAAAAAATAAATATCTTGATAAAATTTATAATATTTTAATTTATCATTAATAATTATATTATCATACTTATCATTTGTTCCAAATAGATTGCGAATCGGCAAATTCTGGAAGTGCAGTGGCAGACAAAGCATAGAAAGTAGTAAATGAATGCTACTTCTTCTTAATTCTGTTTTATTAAAATAATTGATCTTAATATGAGATCTTTGTCGGGCAAAACTATTTCTAGGGCGGAGATAAACGACGGAACCAAAATTTGTACACCATCTAAATCCAATCTGAAAAATCATTACCATATTATATAATGATAGTACTAAAATGTCGTAAATCTATCTGAGCTATAATAATATATTAATTATTCAAGATGTATTCAGTAATTATATATCGAAATGCAGAAACACAAAAAAAAATAAGAATAATAAGTAAATTTTTGAAATAATATGAAAATTTTGATAACATGCGACCATCCTCCCTTTGAGAGTATTTCTGTATAGCTCATAATATTTCTTTAAATTAAAATTAATTTAATTTGTATTAGATAAATATATTATGAGAATATTATTATGAGATTAATATCGTCTTATTAATTTAAAAATTTACCTGAATAAGTCAGAAGAATTTAGAAGAATGCTGGCCATGGTCTCTCCACATTCTTTAGGTTCGGTGACAACCAAACCCTGTTGCAAAGCCAGGTAATACCTCGCTAAATATACTGGTAAAATTTCTTCACCAGTCTTTTTTGCACAAAATATACGACTTAATGCTCCTATTGCTTCTGCTCGACCTAGAGAAGTAGTTATAAATTGAATAAATATTTTATTATATACGATATAAATATTAAATGAAGACGTTTTTTTATACCTGATTCGTATTTATCTATTGTTAAATACGGAGGCAAATCCATAACACCGGTTATAGAAGTAGGCTGTGATAATGAAATATTGCCTTTTCGAGCATCGACCATCATCGAACTTGGGCGCTTGCTCACCTCACTAGCTTGTTCTGTAAAAAAGACATATATTCATAAAGGACTACTTACAAAACAAAAACAATAAGATGAAATTAACCCTGAAAAATAAAGGATGGCTAATGTCACTAAAGGAGTAAATAATAATAATGCATAATAAAAAATAAATAAAAATAAAGTATTCGAATTGAAAGTTAAAAAAAATAAATCATTACTGCGCATTGTCAATATAAATCGAATATTTTTTAAACCACGGTTTAAAACAACCAATAGCGATTCATAATTGCATCCACACACAAAATATAGAGTTCGAAAATGTCATGATAAACATTATATTGTATTAATTCATAAATGCAAAACGCGCGGTCAATAATATTGCACTTATTCCATAAATCACACAAAGCGAATAACAATAAAAATTCATTGCTATGTTATCCAATAATTAGTAGTAAACTTTATTTATAATAATTATAAAAATTACAAACAGGTACATACTAAATAATATCCGTGGCATGATTCACACACAAATTGGTATTATTATTATGCACATTATGTTTCACACCGTTTATTGTGTGTTTTCAATGCCATACAGCTGATCCATCACAAATATAATGTAGTTGTATTTTCTCTAGTAATTATTTTATATTTTTTTTGTAAGTATATCGTTTTTTTGCAAATCATATTTTGTATTTGTATTCTAAATAATTCACAAGTTCACTTGATTTTTTAATTTAAACTTTGGAAATAAATACAAAATCTGATCTGCATAGATTATAACTGTAAATACACAAGGTAATTAACACCTAATTTGTAGTTCGAAGTCTGGATCGAAGAGAAAATTTTGGTAATCGAATTTAATACAAGTAGTACTGATATTAATGTTTTTTATATAATAGTAACATATTTCCATATATTTTCAAGTGAAAACCAATGTTACTCCTGCTTGACATAAAACTGCCCGATGCGGGTATTGAATCTGGAACTTGAATATTAAATACCATAGTTGTAATCACTATACCGAAATCATCTCATAATATGCGTAAAAATCATTAATATTTACAATTTGTAACATATGTGATAATAAAAAATATGTAATAATAAGAATTCATACATCTGGCCTTCGCAATAAAGTATTTGTCATAAAATTCTTAAGAGGAAAATAATGATTTAGAGTTTATTTTCATATTGAAAAATAAAAGTATTCAAATAGAAAATTGCAGTACACCAAATTTAGGATCAAACTCCAATCCGAGTCCAATTGATGCTAGCTCAAATATTTAATTTAGAAATTTGCTTTTGGAATTCCTTTATTGATGTGGATGTTTCGTGCAAATATTGAATAAAAAAATGCAATGAAATTTTTTGCGATCGATCATAATATTTAGAAAAAAATCCGCACTAAATAGTAACTAAACTCATCTATGATTCAAATATTAATGAATAAATTTTTAAGACATCCCAATAAATATTTTAAAAAATTCCTATATTATGATTACTGAAGAAAATGTTCACGTATAGTATAAATGTTAAACAGCTTTCAAATTTATCAATTGTTTTGTTCTATTATTTATGTTATTTTATGAAATTTCTAGATAACCATATAAAGTAAACATTTGTCATAAAGTCCGACTATGATTTAGTAGTCAAACTGCATACAAATGAATCACATTCTTTATCTCTACA